CCGGATGAGATTGGTTCGTGGTTTTAAAGAAGAGCATTTCCGACATGCCCACAGCCTACTCCGTCTTTTCTGCTGCATTCTTCTAGTTATTGTCTGCTAGTTCCGTTCGTTATGGTACTACTTCACGCTCAGGATTTGAGCAACCCACTATTCAAACTTTTACACTTCGTAACTTCGACCAGAACGGAAGTGACGCTACAGACTCCAGCGCTAAAACCTATCACCAATTAGATGTGACCGTAAAAGAACTCAAACCAAGCCAGTTTCAGGTTCGTTTGCTTTCTGCTTCTAATGGTAAGCACATGGAATAGAGCCCACAGCAACACCGACAGTGCTTTTGACTAGGCCTTCCAGGACGAGACTACGAATACCCAAATCGCAAAACCTGAAACTGTGGGTTGCTAATGGCACTTCTGAATCAATTTGGCTGTGTAAAAGGTCAACTAAAATATAGGTGCAAGTTTGGAATTCGTGATAAGACGGATGCGCATCCGTTTTTTAATCAGAATAAAGTTAATGGTGTGATGACTGTCTTATGGGTAGAATCACCCTACACGGCCCAGTGATTGTTTCAAGAATACCCAGAAATGTAGATATCATTGACCCGAACTGCCGCTACTGACATACCACACATGGGGTTCACCTCAAGTAGCCAGTTAGAGTTCTCTTCAAATTCCCATCGACAGTTACTTCACTGCAGTTTGAGTTTACTAACCGGAAAGTCACGATTTCAAAGTGTCTTGGAGGTCTGAGTTGTAAGCACCGTACAACCGTACGCAATTCTACTACACAACACTTCAACTGAAAATTGTAGGCACCGAGACCGAGATTCGACACCCAGGTTCCCCAACCGCGAAGGCTATACCTAACAACAGCTTGTTACTATCTGGAAGCTTTGGTAGAATAGTTCGCGGCCCGAAGTGGCGCTAACCTCCCTGCTGAGTCTGTATTGGTTAAATGAATCCCGGTAAATTCCAGAATGTTGGGTGTTGGAAGGAAGGGCACGCTGTAGGTTGCAAGTAAAAAATTTTCGCCATCTCCGGATACATTCATACTATAAAATGGATAGCTTTGTCTGTTGCTCAAGCTCGTCGGCCTGACGATGAGAGTGGAGTGAGTGGAGATCGTCTGACGCAACTAGATGGAGACTATCTAATGTTTACCGTCAAGTAACAATTTCAGGCAGGTTTCACCAACGTCACTTCACCCAAACATCCAACCAAGTGTGGTCACAAACGGATCAAATTACAACCAGAAACTGGTGGGAAGGAGGTGCTCAGAACTGCAAATATTACTGGAACAACTACATCGAATCGGATTTTACCTTGGTTTCTGACAGCGCTACCGTCCGCCTTGGTGGAGGCCCCAAACAGTTCATTGGAAATTAGCGATCATAAAATATGCACAAAGATTCTGCCAAAATTGAGTTTGGCCTTCACAGCCGACTCCCGAGATGACGTCGAAAAATCGTTGGACATTAATCCGACATGCCCTAGAATCTCATGAATGTCTTTCCCACTGGACTCATCCGATATCTTTTTAGTTCTCGACAGTCCATCGCTGCTGGCCAAGAACCCAACCACGCTAGTAAGCTATTCAAACTACAGCTAGGAGCTTCCTTAGGGAGAGACCGTGAGGTAACACACGATCGATAAGGAAGCTGCGTCTATCGCCTGAATTCAGGAAAGCTATTTCATATCAAGGCACACAAAAAGTGACTTAATAGAGATGAGATAATAATAAAGTGATTTTGTGGGCGTTGCGAAGAATAATACGATCGAAAGCCAATACGATAGGAAAACCAAACAATCAATTGTGAACAATAGACCGTCAATCTATATCAATCAACTGTGCCCGAGTTTTCAAAACAAAACGTTAATCTCAAAGGATACAGGCAATCATTTCCACGAACACACTCACTTGCACTGGGATTTAGTCTTAACAGGCGAAACAACCTTATCTCTACTGAGACTATAGCTCATGGTATTCACCAACTGAATATGTGGCACTAAGCCTGCGTCCTGTTTCACTCAGTATGACATTCGAAATATCGCAATATAACCGCTCGACGGATCACTACTCGTGAGGTTGCTGAAAACCTTACGACAGCTCACAACCGGTTTCCCGAAGCCCTTCTACAGTCCATTCAGTCACGGTGTAACACAGACGACAGATTCAGTTGGAATTAACTTGGGTCTCTTGTATTTCGCGAACTGAGTCCAATTAGAACTGGGCATGAAGTTGATGGAAACTTGGGGACTGCGGCCACAAGAAGCGCGAAACTTGTCGTGGGATGTCGACACCATTGTCTAAAGATGAGAGATCAGCGCTAGTTATTCATCTCATTGTCTTAGAAACGTCGGCATCACTACAGAGACTCTCGCTGACTGGGAGATTCCCATCATTATCCTATTCTATAGGAAGGCTCAACACGCCAGTCGACGTCAGTGTTCCACCATTAACCGCAACAGCTTCGTTCCTCCAAATTCACCCTGTATTATACCTCACTAGCTAAGCCCAGCGCACGATTAATCAAACAGAGGTCCCAACCGGTACGAGACCATATCGATCACTCGCTCACCTTGTGACAGTTTCGAACAACTGTCTCATACACAACGGATTCCAGCTACCCGCCATTTTCTTGACATCAAAAGTATTGTGACGACATAAAACAGGATCGACTCATGAGACAACCGGTGGAAAATGAAGTTCCGATAAAACGTAACAAAAAAAAATTTAGAAAAAAGCAAAATATTATGGTATTGTGGGATTTCAAATAGGACCCAAAACCGCTGCCCAACATCTCATTCCAATTAGATTTCGTTACAGATTACGTCCTCAGGAAACTCTCACTGGATAACAAAAGACCGGAAGCCCCTCGGGACTTAAAATACAAAGTGACGGTTTGTGATCTTGAGAACGGGAAACAGGATGCCATTGACAAGCTGGGATCTTCTTATACTCGTTTTGGACAGAATTTCACAACAAGAAGGCGCTAGACTGATCAGGAGAAATACCTGATAATGATGAGTAACACTTACACCCAGGATGTATCTTCAGTATTAGTGGCTCCAGAGACAAACTAACTGATTGCATTACCAAGGCTTGGGCGGCGCTTTCGGTACTCAGTAATCTATGTCTTTGGATATGCAACAGTTTATCGCTGAACGAACGAATACACAAATCTTCAGTACGTTCAGCCCTTCTGAATAAAGGTGTAATACTAATGCAAAAACGACTGCGACGGCTAAAGTCGCCGGTTTTCCGGGTGTTTAGTTGGATTGGCAATGACAGCCCAGGGAGGAGAGATCAGACAATAACACGGCGAAACGTATGAATGAACTGACCCCACTGCTGTGGGCTTACGATGAGTTTCGAGTTGAGGACCCACGCAAGAGAAATGGATTTGGGATAGCTACCGAAATAGTCTATAACCAATAGAAGTGTTATGGATTTTAGGGACATTTTCGATAAATCGCCTGGCACGTAAAATATTACACTGGAGAATACATTTTAAGCCACCGCGAGAATTCGCTATCCTAAAATAAAAACAGCAATACCAGTGCACGTGACCTGTAACTTCATGAACCCGAATACGTCACGTGATGCCGCATTCGATCATAAGGTGTTCATTTATGTACACAATTCGTAACTTGTGGCATTATGGCCAGCCTATGGCAGGGTTGGTTCGGCTTGTTTTATGAAAACCTACTACTGCGTTTATTTGAAGTCAACTCAGACGGGGATCCTAACCGTACATTGAACAACAAAAGACGGAAGCTCATGTTATTCGTAGAGTCCATTGGTAGCGGATGGAACAGCTGATGATAAACCTATTTGGACGATAGACCGAGAAATGGCGACATTATGGAGGAGTTCCCGCTGAAACAGCATGATTATGATATGGGTGCAAAACAAGAGAGGACCACTTGGTAATACCATTTCGATCCAAAACCTCCAAAAACTTAATGGCTATGTTTTGATGACCGTCCAGTTAACATCTTTGCACCTCTTTTCCGGTTCCTTCTTAACGAACCATCATTACAGGTCAACGAAATCCAAGGAAGACAGTCACAATAAAACGCAAGTCGGAATATCGACCTGAAACCATCGCACATAAGGTATTAAACAAACCTATAGAAAGTAAATTAACACAATTTGCGAACGGACTAATAAAGACTGCAAGAAAGATGCAATCCAGTGAATCACATGAACATATATAACATACTCTCTTTGGAAGCTGTACAATCACCTGCAGATGGCCACTTAACTGTGTGCTGCTAATGTCTCCCTGATTGAGGACGAAAAGCCTGCAAACTCACTGCCAAGCGTGGTGAACAGATCAAAGGCCACCGGACAAGCCACCAGTAAATGCGCCAAAGCTACCAATATTTTGACACATTTTGAATATCACGTATGTACTGCTTCACTGTATCTGGTCAACCTATAACCTATTAGCTGATTACAATTGACTCAGTCCAGGATAAACGGTCATTGAATAGTGCTACACCTTTAGCTATTTTAGTGCATCAGATTGTTTTAGTTTTGTCGTTTCTGGACCATAGAGATAAAAGGTGAACACTCTTCAATTGCAACCCATCAATGAAATAAGTCGAAACGATAATCGATTGCACCGCAGTAGGCATCGAAGTCTAGAATGGGAGATGCAACACGGATCGTTACCTCAAAATAAACCTTGCAAAATTTTACCAGATAACTCCATCCAATCATATTGGCTAAAAATGTGGGCCCAGACACAGAAAACGATGCATTGCAGCGTTGAACACTACGGGAAGATCGGAAGGACCTTTCCAATGCCGGAAAAGGCACCTCAGGGAAGAACAGCATCCTTCTGTGACCTTAGCCCGACCTGCACCATTAAATTGAATTTTCGTTGGCAACTACCGCCAAGATGATCCTAGCACGCTCATTTCCTTCACTGTCAATGAAAATTTTGGAGACCGATGAAAAAAGAACGAACGAATCCAAAAATATGTGCACTGTAGTGTTAGAAATCACTGGATGAAAAGGAGTGGAAAGTCATCGTGGGTAGAGGATCTACGAGAGGAAAATACAACGCCATTAGAAATGCCAATCGGCAACTAAGGGAAATGTGCAATTTGGCGTGTGTGTATGTTCACGAATATATAGAAACAAAGGAACTCAAAGTGGCTAGTGAAACCTTCAACCACAACACCGAGTGCCCTGGGTCATGAGAACTGAAGTGGTGGTAAAGCGATTCCAAGTGGCTCAATTAGCTATGTATGTTCGTGTTCTTCGTCATTTCGGTCGATCCCTCCGTCTGATGATAACAAGTGCACGAGACGGGCGCGCTGCGTAGCATCGAGGGATTCCGTTAACAGAGCACCCAACTGCTCTGTCGTTCGATCCGTATTGCACAGAAAGCTAGAAGTGAAGAAAGGTGAAGAAAAGTTGATAGCTTTAAATCACCTAGTGTCCATCCTACTGAGCAAATAACATAGTTTTCATTCAATCACGAAAGTAATAGTGACTGAAGAATAATGTGATTGAAGAAAAACGTTCTCTGTAGGAAAACGGATTCGTGATATTAGAACGACTGCAGCAGTCAAAGGACAATAACATAACATGAATCTCGGATGATAACTGTTTACAGGCCTGTGTGCATTGGTTCGATATTACCAGAGCGTCACAAGGGAGTCACAAGGGCCAAGCATTCTGAAAACATATACCTTGTAAAATCCATACATTTCTCATTCTTACACCTGTAAGTCTCAAGATTACAAGAGTACGGGATGTTTTACTGAGCCAAAACAGGCTGTGAAATGAGCATGAATGTTTGTGTTCCTTCCAGATGTATTCCACCTTGAACAAGGATTCAATTGCCCAGCTGTGCGCGGCATTAGCGATGAATTCTCTGGTAGTCCACTCGTACGCTGGTAATTACGGTAACACCAGCAACGGCTCACAGAACTGATCGATAAAATTTCCATAGGGGCGTTCAGTTGCTACATATATCGAGATGGCAAGCAGTCAGTTTGGAATGAAGAGTACTCACGGTGGAAACAAATCGTAATATGTGCCGTCAAGCTATCGGCGGTGGAAACGTTTCTCTGGAAATTATCTATGGGGAAGCAAACACTGAGACCAGGGTAACAGAAAATTCCACCTAAAACTATCCGCTCATCCTGAAACCGTAAGCTCCTCTCCCAACCGCTCCCATCGTTCGAACGCACTGTCTCCGTTTCACCCTAAATAATTGCTAACCAAACTGTGGGAAATTTGCTTCATATTTTGCATCCGCCCGATCAGAGCGGTGGGGAGAATTTATAGAACTTTATAAGAGCATCAGGAAAAATTGTCCACACTGAAGCTGTTTCAAGAAAAAAAACTGTGACCAGAGAA